CCAAAGACCAATTATGATCAAAATTATTTGCATTCGGTACAGTCATGCCGCAATCACTTCAATGAACCCTCTCAGACCTAAGAAAGTCGCCTCATTAGGAGACGGAGGCCCAATCAAGAGGGCAATTACCAAGTAGAAATACGTCTTGTGACAGGTTCAAATGGCAATGGCTTCTCCGGGTCCCAAAGGGGTCCGTACCGTCTGCTTTAATGTCGAATTAAGAGGGGACCGCGAGCATTTATTAAACGAAATTGCTGAAGAGTCATAAAAACGGAAAGTCGGACCAACGAAATGACAATGCCGAGAAAAGCGCGTTTAATGAGCCCACAGAAGAATTCGACAAAAGGCACGGTGAGAGTGGCGGTGGCCACCGTTGCACTATCAAGCTCTAAGGCCACTCTGCACGTGTATGTAAGCGCCTTTCCCATAGGCCCATTAAATTCGTGTAATGAATGTGAAAAGAATTAAATAATAGAATTTCGCTTTCATTTTTTTTCCCACCACCGCAGCGCGCACGCAATGACCAATATGGCCCCTTGGATGTTGTTTTTTTTAGTTTTGTCAGATGTCTAACTGAAAAGAAAGTCGGCTAACAAACTTACCAAATGTGCGAACCCAATGCCCGACAAACAAAACAATAATAGTAGAAAGAAAATATTTATATCAATTAAGAAATATTTTCGGTATTCCGCCATTGACAGTCGGACAAAGGCTGCAAGAAACGCTACGATTATCGTTTCGCATGCTCGTACGTGCAGCGATTTTCTCAGCAGAAAGTCAAGTGCGATAAAAGAAAAAATAAATAAATAAAATGGCAAATTTTGTGCTGCAATTTTAATTCAATCGAAACGGGTTTTTCGGCTCGGATCGGGCACTTGATCACCAGCCAAATCTGCACAGAGAAAGTGAAAGAAAATACATGCGAGCGGCTAAATAAAAACCGCAAGAAGAGGCAATAAAAAGTTCAGACCATATTAGAAGTCAGCTTTGCATGCCATGCCGTTGAAAAAATGCTGTATGTATTAACATTTCTTCTCAATGTGGGTTTCTTGTTTCTGTTTTTACTTTCACGTGCGATGCCCAGCAAGATGGTTATTTATGAGCTTAATTAATTTGTTTATGGATTTCGGGGCTAAGCGGGTCAAGTATGTGAAAATAGAAACTTTTCATCGGTTGAGCCCCTCGAGAAAAAACCCTTGTAACTGGCTATCGTCTGCGTCTGCAGTGGTTGGCGTACTTTTAAGTCTTTTCCCAGAACTCTGTGGAGTCCCCAGCCAGATACTAGACAAGAACATATACACGGGGCCATGGTCAGGGTCATCGGTTCAACGACAGGCCATAAAACACGTTACAACTCTTACGGAACAGCAGTACACAGACTAGTTGTATTTTCTGTATGACACAGCAGTTCCCTCGACCGCCTATCCGTTATCCGCACGGGCCTAGTGTAATTATTCTAACAAAGCTTATACATACTCGTAAGCGACTTACATATATTTCCCAGTTATTTAATGCTAGTAATTGTTTCTGTTTATGGATTATTATTTTTTAAATATTTTTACTCGGCTTTGAAGATTAAGCATTTTCAATATTCTTCCATAATGGTGGTGACTCATTAATGCTTTGCATTAATAGAAAGCAGAAAAGAAAAAAGCAAAGTAACTATTAAATCTTCTTCAAGATTGAGTCATTATTTGGACATTTTTTCAAAAAGAGCTATCTATATTCTTCTAAAATAACCACCTATAAGCAAAGTTAAACTTTTCCAATTACAAGACAAGACTCCGTTAACTTGGTGAATAATCTTTCTCGACCGTTTCATAACCCATATCCGTATCATTTCGCTTGCAGCACCTAACGGCTCTCTGCGTCATCAGTATCGCACTCACCTGCGCAAACGCGGCTTTGTGGCCGAGCTATAGTAGCGATGATGCGCCTGCCAGCCGTTGCAGCGGTGGGCGTGGCCTGAAGTACCTGTCCGGCGATGCGCTTACGGATTCGCTCGATTGCCTGGGCCCAAATAATGCGCCATATCCAAGGTGAGTGAGTCAAATGGGAGAGGTGTGTCAGCGGTCAGTAACTTTCTTTTCTAACGCCCATAACCCCCTAATTGGGATCTCTGCAGCGCGGCCGTGGCGCGCACATTCTCCAACTGGAACGGAAACTCGCGACGTGGCCGCCAGAGCAAATTGCCCAGCACACTGGACCCCGCCATAACCACCAGTGCTCTGCTGAGGGCCTACGACGAGGTGAATAACGAGGCCGTCGGAAGCAGTCGCTATGGTAAGTCGGTCATCACCGCACCACCACTGACTGATTGACCAAACGATCGGTCATTTGATTGATTGATTGATTGCTTAATCTCATCTCAACCGATATATTGCAGGTCGATCGCTAAAGAATGCCACGCCGGCGCAGCAATGCAAGAGCGAGACGCCGGCGCGCCTCTGCAAGACCCGCTACAACACCACGGCGCCCATGTACGGCGTTAGCTTAACCTCTGGACAGCCGGTGACCATTGTCCAGAAGTTCCCCGATCTCCTCCAACAGGTGGTCTTTGAAGTGTGCGAGTAAGTAACCGTTTGTTTATATAACTTATATAAATATAAAAATATATAAAAATATAACTTTTATAAATAACATAATAAATTTATGTCCAACGATTTCTTTGATCTTTTCTAGATCCTCTGAGTGTGATGTGGTTCGAGGCGAATGTACGCAAACTTATGTTCCCTATCTGTTCTTGGTCATTCCCCTCGGTCCGGTGACGCTGACTGGCCAAGATTACGTGCTGGTAGAGAGCGGATGTGTGTGCAAGCCCAAGTATTCAACGGGCGCAGCCCAGGAGCCCAATATGATACCTTAGAAAAAAGAGGACGAAAAGGCGGTAACCACCAGGAACACCAACAGCAACCAAAAGAACTGAGCGAGTTTTGGGTCGTAGCGGAGCTGGGCTGAGCTGGCTGGCTGGCTAAATTAATGTGTACTTAAAAAGAGGAATTATTTTTTGTAGCGAAATCAATTTTGCAATGTTATTTAATGTTTTCCCCCATCTCTCATTCTCCTTTAATTCCCTTTCAGCTGTATAAAATTGAAATGCAATTTTGCTCGAAAAATAATCAAATCCTAATGTTAAGTCTAAATTTAACAAAAAATTGATTTAATGCCTGCGTGCATTTGTAGTTTGTATTTATTAGAACCCCTAATTACGGCATTTTAAAATGCAAAATAAAAACATTCGTTTCGAATTGTATTTGGGTTTGTTTTATTAAAGATTCTTAAAGTTGAAATGCGTCTAATACTTTTATAAAATAGAATTTTAAAATTTTACGGAAGCTATTATGCCTAACAGAATCTTAATGACATAAAAACTGTGGCTATTGCATGTCTGATTGAAATTCCATGTTCAAATAAGGATTTTACTAAAAGTAGATTAAGTTTTTTAAATTTTATCTAATCGGGAAAAACTTAAAATGTAACGACCGCATTCAAAAAATTAAAAATTATGATGCCACTTAACTTACCCAGTTCTCACGGCGTTGCCAGATAATTTTGGATATATGCATTCGATAGCTTAGAATTCATGCCGATTACTCGTGTTTTGGGTCACTGCTCCCATCACTGTCGCAGACCGTTTTCAATATATTTTGCAAAGAAAAAGTGGATAAAAATTGCTAAAAAATTTGCTTAAAGGTGTTTGGGACGACTACAGGTGGAAGCATAAGATAAAAGCAATAATACAGTGTTAACGTATAGTTTATATCGGTGCAAAAGAGCATCGCATCCCCGGTCATCACACATACACACGGTGAAAAGACGCTGCGCAAGTGTGTGTGTGTTCCTGTAGACAATCGACTTGCGTGGTGCCGGGTTACATATATTTTTATTGAATTTTTAACTCGATTTCTCGTACTCCGAAAAAAACAAATGTGCCTGGCCTAAAGTTTGGCCACAAATTGGCGGCAGTGCACCCAAATTCCCGCAGAAGACTATTCGTAAAAACGCAGCCAAGATGATGTTCACGGTAAGTCAAAAGCAAACGACTCCCCCCCGCAAACCAATCGATAAATGGTTTCCCTCATTATACATTCGCTTTTATTTTTTTTCTTGGCCTCTATCCTGCAAATGTCCTATATTCCCCCAAAAACGTAAATAGGGCACAAACCAACAGCAGGATACGCGGTTTAGCGACAAGGAGAAGAAACTGATGAAACAAATGAAGTTTGGAGATTGCCTAAACAAACGGGTGGATATGTCCAAGGTAAAACTGGATGTATTACGTCCCTGGATCAGCAAGAAGATCACTGATATCCTGCACATCGAGGACGACGTAGTGGTGGAGTTTGTATACAATCAGCTAGAGGAGGAAAAGTATCCGTGCCCCAAGAAGATGCAAATTAATATGACGGGTTTTCTTAATGGACGCAATGCCCGGCAGTTTATGGGTGAGCTGTGGGCCTTACTTCTCTCCGCCCAGGAAAGCGATTCGGGGATTCCGGCGGAGTTTATTCAGCAAAAGAAGGACGAGATACTCAAACGGGAAGAGGAGCAGCGGCAGAGGGACCGATCAAGATCCCGTTCTCGTTCCCGCTCCCAGCGAGGTAGCTCTCGCCGAGATCGCCAGCGTGAGCGCTCAAAATCTAACTCGCGCTCTAGATCGCGCTCATTAAAGCCAACTAATAACAACGGTTCAGTACCCAGTGCCGCCCGAGAAGCGGCAGCCAATGCAGCGGCCAAGATCCGCAAGCGCGGCTCCTCCTCGGCCGCCCGTCCCGCCTCTAGGGAGCGACGCAATAGCCGGCGGCCACGTTCACGTTCTATTCAGCGATCCCGCTCAAGAGCCTCGGCCAAAAAGACTGGCTCAGTGGAGCCCGCACCCGCCAAGACTGTCAACGGCCGTCACTCAACTGACAAGTCGTCTCCTTTGCCGGCCACCAAGGACAAATCGCGATCCCGTTCGCGGTCTCGATCCCGTTCAGTACGCAGCCGATCCCGTTCTCCCTAGCCCCAAAGGTCACGATCGCGCAGCTCGTCGCGACGCAGTCGCCGACGTGGTCGGTCCAGCAGCATTTCCCTATCTCCGGAGCGTAACCAGGATCATTTCGAGCATCGGCGGAACAAAAATAGTGTGCAGAACAAGCGGCAGTACCGCAATAATCGAGGTGATTCAGCTAGTTCCATGGAGCGCGGGAATGATCGCGGCCGGCAATTTGGCGGGGGAGGCGGTGGTCGTCGAGGGGGTAGACGTTTCTCACCACGAGGACGCAGTCCCATGCGACAGGACAATGGTGGAGGTGGTGGTAACCGCTTTCAACGATCAAATTCTCGTCGTAGATCAAGATCCCGTCGTCTGTCCCGCTCGCCCATGCGGTACTCTAGATCACCAAGACGGTAAGTGTCTTATTACCAGACTTTCTAACTTTGTCTAATTCTTTTTTGATGACCTATTTTCAAGCAGCTTCAACAATCGTCGCCGGTCGCCCATGATGAACTTCAGAGGCGGCGGACGTGGTGGTGGCCGAGGCGGTGGGCATCGGCAGATGTGGCAGCATCGCGGTGGGTCACCCAACTTCAGAGGTGGCGGACGCATCCATTGGCAGGCCAGGCATAGTCCTGGCGGTGGAGGGCGTGGTGGTGGCGGTGGGATGGGTCGTTTCGACAGACGCCAATCGCCGCAGCAGAATCGCTATAATCGCGATCACCGTCAGTCGCCGATGCAGCAAAACCAACAGTTCCGCAAGCAATTCTCTCCGCATCCGGGTCCTGGACGTCGCTTCTCCTCACCACAGCAGCGTCGAAATTCGCGAGATCGTCGCCCCAACTCCAGAGAAAGGCGAAGCTCACCAGGCGGTGGTCACATGAATAGGTGGGACAACCCGCCACCTGTTAGAAATCGACGTTCGTCATCGGGAAGCTCAGGGGGTGGACGCCAGCAACGACAGCGCAGCCTGAGTCCGCCCGAAAATCGCGGACGTAGCCGCAGTCGCAGCCACAGTCGACAAAGTCGTCAGAGAAGTCGTAGTCGGTCTAGTTCGCGGCGCAGTCTCAAACGAGATAGTCCAATTGGTAAGTGATAACCAATAAAGTACACTTTTAAGGAAAGTAAAAAAATGTACACAATTTCCTTTAGGACGCTCCTCAGTTGAGTTCACTGGACCGTCAGTAAACACCATCGATCTCTGTCGTGAAGAACTGCAACGAAAAGCCAAGCCAGCAGAAACCATCATTGTGTTAGACGAGGCTCCGGCTGTACAGCGCAGCAGCTACGCCAGCCTGTCCCGCACGCCATCTCCGTTCCTTAAGCCTCACGAACGGCTCGCTGCAGCCAAGGCAGCGGCGGCGGTGCCACCAAAGAAATCCCGCGACCAGAGCCAGAGTAGCAGCTCAGACAGTAGCGCAGACAGCGATGATAGCGAGGAAAAGCCGCGACGTAAGAAGCAGCCATCTAATGTGGATGCGTCTAAGGGTAAAACAAAAGAAAAATCACGACACAGCTCGGAGAGCTCTTCCAGCAGTGAGCAGAGTGACGATGAGGACAATTCAAGCGGAGATGAGAGGCTTAAGAGAAAGCTACAGAAACAAAAAGAAAAAGTAAAAGAGGTGACAGCTTTGAAAGGAAAGGAGAAAGATCGGGAAAAGGACAAGCGACGTTCAGATAAGAAGCCTAAGCGGGCTGCAACATCTAGTGGTGATGAAGAGTCGACGAGCAGCCGGAAGCGCAGTCATAAGAAGACGCGTCGGGAAGAGACAGTTGGAGAGGCAGGCAACGGTAACAGTGACTCCGAAGACGATCATGTGCCCAAAAAGAAGCGAAAGAAGTCCAAGAAGGTGGTGGACTCAAGCGAAAGCGACTCTGAGTCCTCATCAAAACGGAAGAAGCATAAGAAACACAAGAAGCACAGCAAGAAAAGCAAGAAGCATAAGAAGCACAAGCGAAAGATCAGTGCCGGCAAATCGCGTGCGGATAGCAGTTCCCAGGGCAGCAGCGATGAAGAGGAGGAGCCCTCGTCGGTAGCGGCCAAGCGAAATGGTAACGCGGGTAAGCTGCCGCTATTGCTGCCGGGCGGCTCTGGACCTGGGGTTATTAACGAGGACCTAGAGAAGCAGCTGCGAGAACGTGCCCTCAAATCCATGAAGAAGCTGGACTGAACGACAGACTATGTGCGAGTATGATTGCCCACTTTACCCCAACATATTGATCCACCACTCATCCCCCCATTGAGAATCACTCGCCCTCACAGACAGACGTATGTAGCCATTAAAATAGAAATATACATTTAAACCAACTATACATTTCATTAACTGCATGCATTGTATTTCTTAAAATGTATGTATTTCACATACCGTTAAGTTCTTTCGCCTAAACAAAACAGTAGCGATTAAATTAGCGAGCCAACATTAAGCGATTGAATACAGTTTGTATTATGTACAAAAAAAATTGAGAAACTGAATTAACCATAAAAACTATTTAGCCCCCAGTGGTTTTAAATACATAAATTCCCGTATAAAATCGTAAAAAAAAAACAACAAAAAAAGCAAGGATACACAAAAACAAGCGTAAACCCGTTTGGCAAATTGTATTGTTGCCGCAGTTTAATTTATAAGTAGGTTTTACAGAATGTAATTAATAATACCTAAAGCACGAATTGTGTGTTTGCAAGGCATTAACTAAAAGAGGAAATAAACACAATTGTAAAATTACCGAAAAGGAACTGATATTTTCAAATTTCGATAATTTATGGGTCTGGTTATCCGATTTCTCGCGCCCAATGTAGCCGTGCAGAATCTGGTATTTTTTGTTATTACTAAGTTATTCTTAAAGTTCTGCAGCATTCGGCTTTTTTCCGCTTATAATATTTTTATAAAATTATATTCATTTGGGTTCTCAGCTCTTAATTTTAACATTAATTTTCCCACGTTAATTTTAAACGGTCAACAAAGTAACGAACATTTTTGATTAATAATGGTTACAACAAAATGGATGAATCAACTCGTGCTATACGATATTCACTACCGCAGAACGCAGTCACATTTTTTTTGGCACATCTCTAGCCACTCTTCTTCTTTCCTTTTCCTTTTGTTGCGTTTCCGGAAAGGTTGTAATTGGAAAATTTTGTATGTAAACTAAAAATAATAAATTTTTTACATAACAGTAACCGATTGAATTGTCGGAACCATGGTAAACGGCCGCATACCTTCGGTCTTCTCGAAGACCTACGTGACTCCCCGCCGCCCTTATGAGAAGGCGCGTCTGGACCAGGAGTTAAAGATCATCGGCGAGTATGGTCTCCGCAACAAGCGTGAGGTGTGGCGTGTCAAATATGCCCTGGCCAAGATCCGTAAGGCCGCCCGTGAGCTTTTGACCCTCGACGAAAAGGACGAGAAACGTCTGTTCCAGGGTAAGTGATACGTTTTGTTTATCCAACAAGAAAATGTTCTAATACGCTCTTAACACAGTAGCGTGTCCAAAAATCTGGGGACCATGTTGAATTTTTTTAAATGTATTTTTTTTCCAACCTTAGGTAACGCCCTGCTGCGACGTCTGGTCCGTATCGGAGTCTTGGACGAGTCTCGCATGAAGCTCGATTACGTGCTGGGTCTGAAGATCGAGGACTTCTTGGAGCGCCGTCTGCAAACTCAGGTGTTCAAGTTGGGATTGGCCAAGTCGATTCATCACGCCCGTGTCCTGATCCGACAGCGTCACATTCGGTAAATATCGCTTGGGAAAGCGACGACAGCGTCGTCCGGCTATTTCAATTATAACTCGGTTTTGTTCAGTAAGACCACTTGGGAGTCGAACAAGCTCCAATGCTTACACCGGCTCTCAACGTCTTGAGATTGTGCATGTGACTCCGTTCACTCCAATCCAGAAAGCCAAATGGTCGCCAAGCGTAAGTTGCACTGAACGTTTTTTAGTCCTAATCCTACAGTCGCCGTTTAATGGTTATCTATCCCTGTGACCCTTTACTAATAGATATTTGATATTATTCTTTTTTCTACAGTGTGCGCAAGCAGGTGGTGAACATCCCTTCGTTCGTAGTGCGTCTGGACTCCCAGAAGCACATCGACTTTTCCCTGAAGTCGCCCTTCGGCGGCGGCCGTCCGGGCCGCGTCAAGAGGAAGAATCTGAAGAAGAACCAGGGCGGTGGCGGTGGAGCTGCTGAAGAGGAGGAGGATTAAGCAGTGACAGCCAGCTGCAGCCAGAAAAATACATGGCTCAGACTTTTAATAAAAATATGCTTGTTTTACACAAACAAATGTAAAATATTCTGAAATATTTTCTCTTGGGTGTATATATTATGATTTAAGTAGTATTATGAGTTTAAGTTGTTGGGCAGATATTGAAATGCTTTTTCAGTTCTTAAAAACGTATTTCAAAAAATTTTAATTAATAGTTTTGACACAGTACAGAAAACAGTGCCGAGACCAGTCTACACAATAACAAGACAAATCAAAATATTTGAAAATAGAAATCATATATAAAGAATTAAATAACGAAAATATTAAGAAATTACAATTTCTCCAGATGTACATTCCATACTATGCTGTTTGTTTTCAAATGTTTGTTTGTATTTTGTAATACACGCAAACCCTAAATAAAACCTTACCTCACTTGTATCTTTAATTCATTCTTTTCTTAATATTTTCTGCGATTTAGTTTTTTTAACTACTCCCCCAAGTAAGCAAGAATTATAGAAATAAAAATGTGTCCAATATTTTTAATCAACTTTTAATTGAATACCGCCAATAATTCTGCACACTGGAGCAAAGTAACCCTGCGTGCTGGTAGAAATCTAGTATTTTACCGTTCCGCCTGGCTTGGCTGTTGGCCACACTACGCTTAAATATCTTCCTTTTCCTGTTGTATTGCCCGACGGACGGTACGTGTAATTTTTCATCATATAAAATAATGGCCATCAGGGTTTGTTATTGTTCATCGGTATTGGAATGGGGCAGCCGAAAGTCCAAAAAAAGCAATAGTGGTATTATTTGGAGGCAAAGTCCGGGAGATTTTCTGTGATTTGATGCGGCTTTTTGCGGTGGCTCTGAATGTTTACAAGAAACTAAAGGTTTAATTTTTCTATTTGCAGTGATCGCCCGTACAATATAGTGAATCAAACATGGTGAGTGTTGCAAATTCAATGATCTGGTATGAAATTAAGTAAAAAACAATGGTTGTTTGACAATTCTGCCAACGGATCTCGTGATTTATTGTAATGGATAGTGGATATAACTAAAACACAATTATTTTGCAGGCGCGTGGCCCCAAGAAGCATTTGAAGCGTTTAGCCGCCCCCAAGGCATGGATGTTGGACAAGCTGGGAGGAGTTTTCGCTCCTCGTCCCTCGACCGGTCCACACAAGCTGCGTGAATCGCTGCCCCTGCTGATCTTCCTGAGGAACCGCTTGAAGTACGCTCTCAACGGTGCCGAAGTCACCAAGATCGTTATGCAGCGTTTGGTGAAGGTTGACGGAAAGGTCCGCACCGACCCCACTTACCCCGCTGGATTCATGGGTAAGTTCTTAAATTAAAGTGCCAAGGATGTGTCCCAAAGTAATGTTATTCTTAACTCGTTTTAGATGTCATCACCCTCGAGAAGACCGGTGAGTTCTTCCGTCTGGTCTATGACGTGAAGGGCCGCTTCACCATCCACCGCATCTCCGCCGAGGAGGCCAAGGTGAGATTTGGTTTCATTTTAAGTGAGGTTTCATCTAAAGGTTACTCTTGCCATTTAAAGATTAGTTCAAGTGAACTCTGAGTAAATTCCACTGTAGTAAGCTATATTTTCATATCAAGACTGGTATTATATACAATATTTAAAAGTGGTTTTCATATCAGCCTATAGATGAGTATTTTATGTTGTAATCCAACTATAAAAAGATTTGAGTGATTAAAAGGGCTTTGTCGAAGACTGTTTTGCGTTTCAAATAGTGCGTCAATTGGTTCAAAACGAAGCCCAAAGCAATTTTTGATACGACGGTCTCTGATTTGACAAACCAAAGTTATTTCAGTAACTTTTACGTGCAATTACAAAAGCATCAAAGTGTATATAGAAAATATAATTAATATCTTTGTGGGCTTCGTCGAAGACCGATTTTCGCCTGCAACCATGTGTTAATTGGTTCAAATCGAGGCCCAAAGCAATTTTTGATACGACGGTCTCTGATTCGGCATTTCACAGTCGTTTCAGTAACTTTTACGTGCAATTACAAAGGCTTCAACGTGAATATATAAGGATAATAATCAGAAGATTAGTATTTTTCCTTATAAACAAGATTTGAAAAAAATAGAAAAATCGAAGCATCGAAAGTAACCCAATCTTCCTTTTCTCTATTGCAGTACAAGCTGTGCAAGGTCAAGAAGAACCAGCTGGGCGCTAAGGGAGTCCCATTCCTGGTGACACACGACGGCCGCACCATCCGCTACCCGGATCCTCTGATCCACGCCAACGACACCGTGCAGGTGGACATTGCCACTGGCAAGATCACCGACTACATCAAGTTCGATTCCGGTAAGAAAAATATATGTTATTAGCGATTTTCATTGGCTGGTTCGAAGACCACAAAACGTTAATCAAAGTTGAGTGGTTCAAAATCTGACAAAGCCAAAAGCATTTTTTGTCACGACGGTCTCTGATTCGGCAATCCACAGTCGTTCCAGTAACTTTTACGTGCAATGACAGTCGCCCAATATTCATTAATATTTTGATTTTACTAACTGGATTATCTTTGATCCACAGGCAACCTCTGCATGATCACCGGAGGCAGGAATTTGGGACGTGTCGGCACCGTTGTCAACCGCGAGCGTCACCCCGGATCCTTCGACATTGTGCACATTAAGGATTCCCAGGGCCATGTGTTCGCCACTCGTTTGACCAACGTGTTCATCATTGGCAAGGGCAACAAGCCCTACATTTCCCTGCCCAAGGGCAAGGGTGTCAAGCTGAGCATCTCGGAGGAGCGCGACAAGCGTCTGGCCGCCAAGACCCACTAAGAACCAGGAGTTTAAGGATTTTTACCTTTTAGCATAACACTCTGTACGTTAAGCTACGGAATTACAAGCCAAGAACGTAACAAATGTGTTTTCTTTTAAAACAGGAAAAGTGAATCAATGGGAATTATCATTAAATAGATAAAATTGTGTTTGAATGTCCAGAAGTAAATGCCAAAAGGAAACGCTAATAGAAGTGATAAAATACACTAGATAAATTAACCTCAATTTGAATTATGTTTGACTATATTATATCATAGAGAAATGAATTTCAGTATCATATCTGGAATTATAAACGTTATTGTATAAAACGGAAGTTGTTATATTGAAATTTAATTCAAGTTTTTAGTAAACAACATCCTTATAGAAAGTTTTATTTAGAAGATTTAGATTTCAATTTAACCCCTTTGGGGTGCGTGGGGACTAAAGTTGGCGCCCAATTAATCGATAAGCCGCCCCCCACAGCATCGATAGAACGCCCGCACCGAAAGCTCCGGTCACACTGCTCAGTGGGCTGCTGCTTCTGCTTATTGTATTATCATTGTATTTTGTGTGGTGAAAGGCTTTTGGTTTTGTGCGCTGACATTGTGCGTCCACGGAACAGAACTCGCTTTGAAGTAAGTACCAAGCTATCCCGGTTGTGCATTCCTCAGCCGGGAGGAAGCCCTAAAAGAACCCCCGCCCCCAGAAGCAAATCATATGCGAAGAAGAAAACACGTAAATTTTGCCCACCAATACACCGATGCACTTCTACACCGACACGCACGTACACAGGCAAACATCATATGTTGATAAGTTAGCGACAACAACAACAGCAACAACAACAATGAATCATTTGTAGGGATTTGTCTGTTTGCTCTAGAGTGGTATTAAATGTCGGCCTATTTTTTTAAGACCCATGCTTTGAACTCACAGAGATATGTGTGCTTACAGACATGTCCCAGGCCTTGAACAATCCAGGAGGAGGCGGAGGTGGCCCCCATCGTGACTACGGAGCTATGGCAGATTCCACTCCCGAAGTAAGTTTTGCAGCCGCCGGTGGATCCTCGGGGTTTAGTCCTACGGAATTCATGTCTCTCAGCGAGGATATTGGCCACAATATAACTGCGATCCATAGCAGCACTAAGCAGTTGGAGAAGCAATTAAAACTGATAGGGACATCAAAGGAACTTCCCAATCTGCGAGAGAAAGTGCACACCATTAACACCAAGTGCAATGCCCGGGTGCAAACAACCAGTCAGGATTTGCAAAGGTTACAGGCTGTAGTCCGTCATGGTGATCGCCAGCAGAAACTCCAGCTGGAGAAGCTCACAAGGGAGTTTCATGGGGTTGTCGAAAAGTATTCCAATTTACAGCGACGTATTTCGTCAGCCATGCGGCAGACCCTTCAGCAGGCCCAGCATTTTGCTGATCAGGATGTGGAGGCCAACGCCCGAGCTGAGCTGCTCCATCAACAGCGTTTGGAGCAGGCCCATCTCCAGCAAGAGCACGATATGCTCGACGAGCGAAGGCGACAGGTCGAACAAATAGAGTCGGATATTATCGATGTCAACCAGGTCATGACCAAGCTTAGTGGACTGGTGCACGATCAGGGGCAGCAGATGGGTGAGTAAGCCACTGAATGCATTTCAAAGCAGACCCTTAAAGGGGCTCAAGCAACCGCAAATTGACAAACCACAAACTGTAATTAGTGTTCTCCAGTTTCGATGTTCTGATGGGTCATTGCAATCCAATAGTGTAGAAATGGAGAAATTCATTCGTGAAACATAATATCGAAAGTGTATCAGTGCTTTATCGAGTTTATAAGTAATGCATTTTTGTTTAAAAAAATGTATTAGTTGAAAAGAGTGAAAATAAATATGTTTATATATATTCCAATATTTTGAATATTATTTTTCAAGCGTTAGTGAAACAACTTTTAATATACAATGTGAATGACCTTTTTTATTAGTTTACTCTAAATACAGAGTCATGTTTAAACTTATCTTTCATACCCTTATCATTCATTTAATTTTTTGATTGGGTCAGCAATATAAAACTGGTAATAACAATGAGTTTGTCTGTTTTTCAAAATAAGGAGAGAATGATGGGCAATTTCCGTGAAAAAAATGTAACTGATTACAATTTTTTAATGTTTTTTCTCAGATTTTATCGAGAACAATATTGAGCAGACGGCCGCAAACGTTGAGGATGGCACCTCGCAGCTGGCCAAGGCGGCCAGGAGTCGTCAGAGCTACAGGCGCAAGATCTTGATACTCTTGGTGATCGCTGTGATAATAGGTTTAATCGTAACTGGCGTTATTGTTGCCAAACTGAACAGTTAATTGTTTTATTTGTACACCCACATTCAAACACACGCAAACATACACACACACACACCCACACATGCATAGATTTTTGTAAAACGATTTTTATAAGAAACAAAATATTCGAACGTTGAGAACTCTGTTTAATCACCAAGTGAGCAAAGACAACAAACATGTAGAGGAAAAGCTAAAAAATAAACAAATACAATATTTATAAATATATATATACATATATATATATATACATACGTAAATAAGGATACTGCATCCCACTTAAATTGCATATAAACAATATTCAGCGCTTTTAAATGTTAATTATTGTTAAAATCTATTATCGCGAACCATTTAAGTTTTGCATTGAAATTTGTAAAATTTTGTGTTTAGTTTAAAGCAAGCGATGGAGGGATTGCTGAAGCAAACTATGATTTCAGGAATCCCTTCAATATATGTTAAATGATTCAAGTTACAAATAAGTGAGCCAGCAATCGAAATAAAAATAAATCGAACAAAACAATAAAAAGTTTATTTAAAAAGAGCGCCAAGTGTAGTTATAGAATGGTAAAGGTTAGCAGCACCCTACTATCGATAGGTAGGCTATCGATACGTGGAATTGGTGTAGGGTCACACTTAACCAAAACCAAAACAACGTGCTGCGGAATAGAATAATAATTTTTGTTTTCTCGATAAACTAAAGACTAAGTATGCCACAGGGAAAATTTAAGAAGGCAAAACTGCCAGCCAGCATACAGAAAAAGAAAAATCAAAAACAGGCTCCCTTCACCCGCCGTTCAAGTGAGTATCAACAAGTAATCCTATCATCAGCAATACCATAATATCTACAATATTTTATAGATGCACCTATTCAGGCGAAAAAGGCCAAGTTTAATGAGACCCAGAAAATTAAGTCTGTCATCTCGAAGTCGGTCAACAAAAGTGTGGAAAGTGAACTACGATCCCGCGCCCACGAAGGATATATCCAGTTGAGCAAGGCTCAGGAGGCGGTAGCGAAGCACCACGCATCCCAGGCGAAGGCGGCTGCGGCGGCCAGCACCTCCAAATCCACAGAATAGTTTACTTTAGGACTAAGTACATTGTTGATAACCGAAAGACCTGCATATTGATAGTAAAACCTTTTTAAACAAATTGAAGTGCTAGAGTTTCTAATTGAACTAAAACCAATCGAGACTTTCAAAAAGGATAATTGTATAAACATTGATGTAGAAATCTATGGAACAGTTAAGTTTTAGTGCCAAATTCATTGTTATCGAAAGGTTACTTAAAACTGTATTGTAGTAGTTCCAAATCTGTGGAATTTCGCTGTCAGAATCTAGGCTTTCCAGAAATAAGAAGTTATAATGCCCAAAAACAAGATTGTTCTCTAAATCCTGATTTTTTTAAATGAAAATGGTATTTAATATTTTTGAGATTCGCGATAGCTACAATTACAATTATTTTCTTACATTTGTGTATGCTCCAACCAAATCTCCTTTATCAACGAGTTGTATTTTCCTTGTAACTTCTATTAATTATGTAAATTGCAGCAAATATTTAATATCATTCAGTTTTCTTGTTGTGAGCTTTGGATTTTTCCTTGCGTTGTTTCAAGGGCTTGTTGAACAAGTACTACATTGCTAACTTTGACGTTTGCCCAATTTATGACCGGACCTTTGGGTCCCGCTCTTGGAATAACTTTTACATTCAGTTTCCTACTTATCACAATCAGTTTGTTTAATTATAAAAATAGTTGGCAAACAAAGTTTGTTCCGCTGACATTTATTGGACGATTCGCTGTGGCTCTGCCAGCCCAGAATTCCCTTTCGTAATTCCGCTCCTTTAACGACAGCTATTCATGACAAACTTTTTTGGCATTGGCAGCTTTGACGAAGTGAAAAGGAAAAAGTGCAACTAACAATTTCTATTTAATTTTCGCAACGTTTCGTTTCGTTTGCTATGCAAATTCTGTCCGCTTTTGATGCGCTTTTAATTAGCCAGCATCCCGTACTCACATGCATCCGGAAAAATCCACAGCCAATTGGTTGTTTTTGTTTTGTTTTTTGTTCCTTTAACCCCCTCTCATATCAAGCACTTTGATTCCGCGCGCTTTTCAATCGCATGCAAATGAGCCATGCCCCCCTGCCGCCCATTCACCTGTGGAAAAAGGTGACAGGATCCCCGGGTGCTCGTTAGTCGTTTTTTGAACGTTTTGCGTTTTTAGTTTAGCACCAGAATTAAAGTGCTTCCAGCATGCAAATGCATTTTTGCACTCAACCTGCCATTGGTTTTGATAGTAGACCTTTTTGGCTATGTAGTTTTAGCATTCAAAAGAAGCTGTTCGGAACTTTTTGACACCTATTCCTCGCACTCCCTTCACTTATACGAGAATGTTGGTTTTGTCAATAAGGTTGTCTTGGAGGTAGTTATAAAAACTATTTAAAAATTGAAGATCAATAATTCATTTTCAAGTAAAATCGTTTAATAAATTGCTTAAGTATCGGGTTGATTTACTTATCCATTTAATTTAAATATACAAATTCTTTTAGCATTTGGTGGAAGTAGAGAAATAGTTTCATGGAGCTTTTTTTAAATTTCTAGAGTATCTACCTTTTACTAACATGCTTTCTAAAAACACTTCCCAAACTTTTTGGGGCTTTTAGTCTGACGTTTCACTTGATTAGCATTCAATCTTTTCGCACTTTTCCAATTAGAAAATAAATTGGTAATAGCAGAAACACTTGGAAATTTATACGAACCAAAAAGCTTTTAAAAACGCAATGCAACGAATTTTAACTTTAAACCTGTGTGTTTCGGAATCCGTAGTTCCCACATCAAAGTGATTGTTTTATATAGGCTCTTTGGCATTTCATTTTATGGCTTATTTAATTGAGCATTGCATTTTGACCGCATTTGGCAGGAATTGATTGATTTGCCTCTGCAGTCATTCAGCCAACCAACCATCCATTTCACCCATTATTTCCCCTGGCCATGGGGCTTAACTCAGTCCATTTAATTAAAATATATTTCGAACAAAAGAAGCGGACACCTTTCACGCACTCCCGCACTCACAAAGGATAAAAAGCAGTGTCCAGAGCGGAAATCACACGGCCCAGCATCCTTTTTGCATTTTCCATCATTTAAATGATGCGTTTCTGTTTGCCTTTGCCTTTGCGTTTGCATTTGCTGGCTGCCTTCAGCCGCCGGTCGGCGACCTATTTGAATAGCGACGTGTGTCCCAGTGTCGGACATTCCAGGTAGCTGCTTCTGCAGCCTTCAGCTCTTAATGCACTCAGAAAAATATTTATTTCAGTCTTAAACTTATATTTTAATGAAATTCAAATCAAATGGCTATAGAAATTAAGGACGTATTTTTGATTTCTAATTAAATTCCTATGTTAGATATATCAGATCGATCTCAATCAGTTTCACCCCCTTTTTTGTTTCAAGTGCACTATAGAATGGACCACGACTACCTGGTTACCTGGTCAGGTCGTCCGCTGTCTCATTGTGTGCGAGGCGCGCATGTAAATTTGTCCAACTGCAATGGCAAACACTTGAAAAGCGAGCGACAGAGGCCCACTGCTGGCGGCCACCTGCGGCATTCCACACCAAACCCATGACCATACCAAAAACCCATTCCATTCGATTCCGTTTTCATTATTTTGTTTTGTTTTTTGTTTTTTGTTTTTGCATACAATCGAACGTTTTGGTTCCTGGTTCGAATTCTATGTCCTGACCGTCTGTCTGCGAATTCTGATTTATATGATGAATGACAATGAGCTGGGTTTTGCCTATTATTTCGTTTTTGGGTATTAAGTTTTCCGCTTTTCGGTTTTTTACACCTTTCATGGGGGGATTATTTATGATAAGGACAGTGCAGAGTTTAGGGGAAGTTTGCTTATTATTATATTTTCAATATATCTATAGTTAATCCTCGGGATATTCTCACGTTTTATTTTAAAAATGTATATATGTGAAAGTGCCTGTAAAGTTCATACTGTACTTAAATATTTAACTAAAAGTCTAGTTTCGAAGGCTAATGTAGTGTTCTAAGTAAATCGCTGAGGAAAATAATTTTACTTCAACTCTTCTCCATTGATCTATCTTTCCTATCGCATAGCTATCATTCCAATAAATTCTTCACACATACCTGTTCCTTTAATATCCCACCGCATTATTAATGAACAACTTCAATACCTTCCAAATTACACCTTGCTCTCGGCAGAACCTCGGATGAGAAGTGAAGGCAACGAAAATTCACCTGTCCACACGGATTTCTAACTTTTAATACATAAATTAAGGCTTAAAGCCGAAATGTAGGGGCAGAAGAAGAAACAAAAAAAAAAACAAAAACACAAAGCAATCCACGGCATTAAGGAGATAAAGACCTGCCCGGTCATTGAGATATTCCACCTGCAGTCGCTTCCAAGTCGCATTCCCATTACCAGTCCCAGATCAACCAGCAACATATAATAATCCCATCAGCATTTTTGGATACGCTTTGCAAATGAATTGTAGAGCGGCGGCATTTCCCAACGAATAAAAAAAGAAAGAAACCGGACTGTGCCGAGCGTGGATAATAATAATGTGGAACCGAAAATGAGCTCGGATCGCTGACGACTGTTGACTGGTCAGTCAGCGAAGGTTCTGCATTTGCACCTGCAACGGATCGGAACTTTGATGGGCATTGCCTGGCTTATAATTAAATTGGACTTGTGGATACAATTTGATATCCTTGCCGATGTGCTCCATAAAGCATATGAGCGCACCAAGATTACATAATGGTTTCGTTATTAAATGTCTTCTTGGCATTTACATTTTGAAAGGTGTGTTTGTTGGTGAGAATTTCATAGTTAAGAACAGCCATTTCGACGGAGTTTCCCCTAAAGTCATATTCCTTGACTATCTAACATAGTTTTTTAATGGAAATATTCATGTTTATCTGGTTAACTGTCAGATAAAAATGACTTATCATGGTCTTGCTGGGTATGACTTTGTTTAAAAAATAAAGATAGGATATTTTCTAAGACCTGCTTAACGAACCAAATATAATGAGGCTACTGCTTTTGATAAAAAATGTTAAACCATGTGGTTAAAATTGAATTAAAAACTAAACTATTCAAAGCTAATGCAATATTTTTATAACCCTACCCAGCACAACTTTTGGGCAAATAAAAATTGCATTTATCATTTCCCAAATCACCGAACACATTATTCTCCTCACTGAAATATTAAAGCACCGGGAAGCATTTCACTTCCGCTTGTTGCAAATAAAAAACAGAGTATTCCTCAAAATGAGAAAAAAACAAAAAAAGAAAAGAAAAGAAAGCAAGGAAAAGCGAAGCGCAAAAAATCTGTTGTTAAAAGGCGCACACAACAAGCGGATGTAAATGTGCCCAGCTGCATGCCAAAAACTGCAATTGTCATCAATACGAGCACGGGGGGGAAGGGTGTTTCCGGGGAGGGTGGTGAGGTATGGCCATACAAAGCCAATTCATAAAAACAAAAGCAAGAGCGAAAAGTGAATTTCAATAACGGATGTAAATAAACCACATGAGATCGATTACCTCCCTAGTGTGCGGGTGAGGTGAGTCCTGCTGTCAGGATAACAGATGCACGGAAAGGCATCGACTGCAGGTACACCTCTCAAGCTCTATAGCTCTGCAGCTCCACACACAACAGTAAAGCATCCACAATATCAGTTAACTCAGTGCGGGAGGATGGCAAAGATAAAAAAATCATGGCCCTCAAAAAAAGCACAAGCCAGAAACATCTGTCCTTCCCTTGAAGGAGTAAGAAAAAATGTAAGCAAAAAAAAAAAAACATGCAGCAGGTTTGAAATTTATTTAAGCCAGCTCAAGAAAAAACGCGACAAGGTTAAAAAGTGTGGTCTTAAAGCAGCAGAACTTGGCTATCTAAAAAGGTATTCTGTAAGATATGACTTAAATCATAAAAATCATTATTAAAGAAGAATTATAAATTTCTCACTTACTTATTGACTAAAAAATATCTAAAAATTTCAAATTTCCTCTTACTATTTTATGAAAAAAGAACTTCTTAAAACAAATTTGTCACCATTGATTTACTTAAGTAAGTTAACGAGAGTGTTTTTAAAATAAAAGAGAAACAAATTCCGTTGCGATTTATTTCAAGC